CTCTGTTATTAACATGCAAGCTCACATTCACACTTCAAATACATAAAACAAAACCAAAAACAACAGAGAGAGAAATTCCATCATTCCACATCCAGGCTGAGAAATACAAGGCACAGAGAGACTGCTTCCATGGTCTACAGGAGATACAGACTACGCATTGCATTGCAGGCAGGCCTGGCCAGCCAGCTGATACCTACAGGACCAAGTGATCCTTCCATCTTTATGAGGGAGATTTTAGTTTGAAGTGAAATTATTAGAAACAATAATACACGAAAGCAACACTTGCTGCCAAATTGATGCATATCTCTAACAGAATCACCAAGACAAAGCTCTGACTTCTTGTTCTACCTGTGTCACACACGCTCTCGAAATTTCAGCAAGATACGTATTTGAACTGCCCTATCACGGTGCATTATTTTTATATCAGAAACAGTACTATGAGCTGAAAGTCAAGTGTTACACCTGCAAATTTCTCTTACATAGACCAAGCACAAGTTACAGATGTGAATCCCATAAAAAACTGCTTTTTTCCCTTTTTTTTTTTTGAAATGCAAATCATGAGTTACAGCACAGCACAACGATCGATTCCCAAGTCTTACAGACTACATGACTAAGCACTAATGCAAAATATTAACCCATCAGCTTCTAATGTCAACAGGCTTATTTCAATATTGAAAGCACATTGTAATTTTCAACCAACTCTAAAAGCCTTTGCTAAATTACTCTTCAGACATCACAGACATCTCACTCTCCTGGAAATCAGACATAGAACGTAACTGCCTTCCCAGCAACTTTAGGCACACTTTTCAGATTACAACAAAGCTATCAAGCTATTGAACAAAACAGCTTGTATTATACTTGCACTTCCTTAACAAACACAAAGTGTTAAAGAGATTTAGACACAGTTCTTGAGGTTTATGGGCCCATCCACCATTTGTTTCAAATGGAAAAATTCGACTGAGAAGGAAAAACAGAAACAGCAGAATTCGTATTTAAAAAAAAAAAAAAAAGAGAAAAAAAAAGCTTATCTAGGAAAAAGAACGAGTTCAAAATATTTGCAACAATTACATATCAGTGCATCACAGTTCTGCTAAACAGAGTACAAAGAATAAATAACTTCTCAGTTTAATCTCTGCAATTGGGTACACCAAAGCAAACAAAAACATGAGCTGTTTTTCCTCCTATATCTCACAACCATCTGACAACAAACCCAGCTCACTCTGTACTGTTAAAAGCATGATTCTCTAATGTAGCTGTACCTCCGGGAATACATTTCTGCTTCTGTGAAATGTTTGCTACATCCATGTATCCGTTGGTCATGTAAACATACAGTGTGACTGCACGCAAAGCAGTCTACCAGCTGCCTAAAACATGACACAACAAAAAAGGTTAATTCTAAGAAAGACAATGCTCTGGATGTCTTGTAAGCAGTAAAGACTGCAATGATCCCACTGTTTCCAGCCCATCTCCTGAGCAAGACGGATGTTTTCCTCTTTGACAGCACACTCATTTTCTGGAGGATGACAACACTTTCGTTAGCAACGCGATATATGGCTGAAACATCCATCCAAGGGGCTGAGACAACATCAGGAATGTCTGCTTATGAAATCCATTCTGGTTGCGTGGCTGATAGGTAACTCAGATATCTGGTTAGCGTTTTGGTTTTGTTCCCCCCCCCCTTCTTCATCTTAAGTCTGATACCACACATGATTCCTCACCAAAGCAGTCCCCTGCTGATGCTAATGCTTTTAAACCTAAGGACCTATTTGCATTGAGAAGCAGGGAAGACTGACGTGACAAAACAAAATAACAAAACAAGCACAGCATAGCTGATGCCTCACTGACATAAGGCATCAGATATAACATGCTCGTTCAGCTGCAGTCAAGCATTAAAACCATGTCACTAGCACATAATCATGAAAACAAACGGCTGACTTATTCTGTTGGTTTTATACACATATATACAGATAAATTAATTTTAATTGCAAAATAATGCTTCCCATATCCTGCCCTTTTGACACAGGTTCTTTCCTGCTGTGAAAATCAGGTTAGTATGGCACTATATATTGACTCATCTATAAACAGAAGGTGGAAACCGAGACAGAGGAAGAGGGTACAGGACCTCATTACCCTCCAAAATGAAAATCAAACACAATAAATAAGTAAGCAAATCCAATCTTTACAGAGGCCATCCATGCTATTAAAAGCATACAAAATAAGTAAAATAAAGCCATGTCAAAAAAAGAAGAGCTTTCAGGTTTCTTGCCAAAACCTTGAATTTAGCTCGATACATTAAACAATGCAATTTCATTTTCCTCAGACAAAAACATTACTTACAGTAAACAAAGGCAACATTAGAACCTTCAGAACTTATTTCTATGCTGCAGAAACCCACAAATTAACTTTTTTTTTTGGGGGGGGAGTAGGGGATGGAGGGGGGAGAGGAGGAGGAGGTGAAGTTATGTGTTTGGTTGCTTTGGTTTTCTTTTGCTTCAGAATTTGTATACATATTTTAGGTTCTTGGACTCGGTTGTTTATTCTTCAGGCTTACTTGGAAAGCAAGTGCAAACTCAGCAACTCATCCAACGCACAACAGAGCAGCCAAGGGTTGTTAGACAGCGCTCTCTCAGAAAAGTTAAACATTGATGAATCCCAGACAAGCCCAGGTAAAGCCACCGGCCATTCAATCACTATGGGGCAACCAGAGGGGTTGAGACAAGGAAGGTGGAAGCCAGGTGGGGGCATGGGGCATTCTTAGCACATAGTGCAGGAGGTAATAATTAAGTTTAGACAATGTAAACATGCCTTTTATCCTCAGAACAAAAGCCACTTAATATTGCATCTTTATTTCATCTTAGATCACAGCCACACATTCTTCTTACAGATCTTGTTATTATCTGTACCAGTAGCCATAAATTAAAACACCACAGCCATAGAACACGTTCATTTGGTTGGTTGATTGTTTTTATTTTTCATGGTTAAAGCTCTCAATTTGAGGCTGGTCCAACCTCCCATACACAAAAATAAGCTGTGGGAAAACAAAAATACAGAATCTTTCAGCCTCTTCCAATTCCATCAAAACCTGATGTTTTCAGCAAGCATCTTCTGATACATTCCCAGAAACAAGTAAAATAAACTGAAATCCAGCTTTCCTCATTATCTATACTAAAAGTGGAAATAGGGCATAACTAATGAGAAGTAAACTGATTTTTCAAATCACTTCACCTCTAATAACCCATTTAGTAGCACTATATGCTCACAACATGGTGAGGTTCGCAGAATCTGGGTAGCTTCAACAACCATTTCTATCTGTTAATGAAAGGTTTCGTTGTCCTTTCAAATTATGGGCTCATTCTCTACCTGTATTTCTTCTCCCAACATTTAATCCACCTTGATTTATTTGAAACCTCCATTTGTTACAGAGAAATATAAATTGATGAAAACTTCTATAATAGGGGCAATAAAAGCTAAGTGACTGGGGAAGTTACAGAAGGAAAAAAAAAAAGCAATTATTTTCTTACACAATTAAGAATTTAATTTGATTATTTAAGCATTTACTGAAGTGAACACAAAGCTAGAAAACTTCACATCAGACTCAACTCCTTTTAGTTTGAAGCAATACAAGAGTAGATAACACTAAAAACCGATCACCTTTCTACTTGATTGGAAAACATAACAGCAGCTGTATCAGCAAGCTGTTAAGCAGCAGTATTAAAAACTGAGACCTAATTTATTGCTCAGAAGGGGAAGCAGCATCACCAAACATCAGCCATTGCTGAGCTGCCCACTGTTGCTTTTCCTTTCACAGGGTCTGTGATGGAAGTTGATCCATCATGCTGAACAACACTACTCAGCACTTCCTGAATGAAGACACTGCTAAAATGTCTTCTACAGCAGATCTGCCACGTGGTAGCAGTGACACAGGTCACAAATGCAATGCCTTTGGTACAGCTGCATACACTGGTGCTTAAAAGCCTCTCAACTGTACACTAAGTGAAACATATGCTTACATTTGTTGGGTGTTGCTGTTAAAAAAAAAAAAAAAAAAAAAAAACCACCCATCAAAACAAAACGTAGCACAGAAACAAATGCTGTTCCTGCCTCTGAATCTTCATGTTGCTATTTGTGGTTTGTCACTGCTTTTATTTTCTAAAGGGATGTTTCCCTAATGCAGCTGTGAAGCTCACCTTACAAGGGCTGATCACAGCCACACGTGAGGGTGCAGGTGGAAGCGTGTCTCCTGACTGCTGCTGATCAGAGCAGCAGTGGAAGAGTGCTTTCTTTCTGAACACACGTCTGCTCTTCAACTAACCTGTATTTTTCCCCCTTATTTAATTTCTCCAGGGCCACTTTGACCAAGACAGCAACAAACAATCGCAGGATCAGATTGCTGGTGTTCATCTGCCACCCCTGGCTCTGCGCAGTGTGCTGGGATACTATTCAAGGAGATGCCCAGTTTATGGGGAGGTCACTCACACTCCTGCTCCTCTCTGAGCTCAGCTGTGTGTAAGGGAGTGCAGCAAGGAGACCAAGGTCAAACCCAGAGATTCCTGAGGCAGCACAGTGACAGAGGTGATAAATAGTGCGGGGGCACGCCTGGGAGAAAAGCCCCCAACAGCAAGGCACGCTGATTGCTATCAAGAAAAACAACCCCTGGCTGACAGCTCTCACACTGCCCCTACATTACACACTCAATTCCCATCTCCTGGTATATTTCAATTGTAAATTCTTTAGTAAGGAAACAACGCGTTTTCCAAGCTCAAGCTGGCTACTGCTTTAAGCAGAACGAGAGTGCTGTCATGCACACTGCAAGAATAAGAACAGATTCTGCTTATTTCTCTCAAAACTTGAGAAGCCTCCTGGGTTACTCCTAGAATTGCTGGCAAACAGTGCTTGGATCAAAGCAACCTCCTTAAGCACATATTCCTTCAACCTCCCATAGCTGGAAGCACACCCAAGCTCCCCAAAAAGCCCTTTTCCCTTAGCTGACAGCAACATACCTCTGAGATTTCTGGGATGTATCTGCTTCGTCCGAGGCATTTTCCTCTAATCTCATACACTGCTTTCTCCTCCCAGAAATGAAAAGTACAGCAAGCAGAGAGGTGGCAGCTCCATAAACTTGTCAGAGGGGTCACTTAATCCATATGCTAATAGAAAAAAAAAAAAAAAAGTTAAGAGATGTGTGAATTAATACGGAAAAAAAAAAAGAAAAAAGAAATCTACCTGCCTAAATCAGCTATGGAAAAGAGTGAGGAGCACAAAATATTTCTGTATCTATCCTTTTATGGAATGGTGTGTTCAAATACGATAAGGAAATTAAAAAAGGGGGACACTGTTTTAGGGATTTCTCAGGAGGAATGAGAAAAACAAGATCCTTTATTTTCCACATTCATCAGCTGTTACCTAGCCTGAAAACGGCTTCCAACAACTTGTGTCCCACGCAAATAAATCCAGAAAACTAAACTAAACTTGACATCGGGCTTCAAGATAAGGGATGCTCATCTGCAGGGGGAAAAGCAGAACCAGCACACACAGGGAAACCCACAGTTCTGGAGTGCAGGTCTGGAGGAACTCCCAGGGAAGAATTATGCTTGCAGCAGGGAACAGAACACTCACAGCCCTTTCTCCCTTTTCTAACGTTCTGCTGCTATACTTCCAGCATGCTTCATTACCTGAAATCCCTTACAGACCTATGGCAAAGCACTTACAGAACTTATAGAGAGTATAAGTGGAGCTGTTGCACTGTTCCAGCTCAACTGAACAAAACGCCACTTATTTTTATAGTCATGCTACCTCGAGTTGAGACATCTTCTTAGTTAGCAGCAGGAAGAATTTACTTGAATTTATATAAACTCCAACACAGCTCTTAATACAGGCACAATGACTACTGATAGGAGAGAGCGTGTAGGGTTTTCAGCATTTTCAACCCGGACAACAGACGCTTCGTTAAAAACCGAATTCAGAACCCCTTCAAGCACTCCACTCGCAGCCCCCAGCTCAGAGGAGCATTAATGTTTAACGCTGCTTTTGTCTGTGGCTGCAGCACGGACCCAACGAGAGGCAGGCACGGACACAAAGGGAGCAACAAGAGGGATCTGCGGGATCGGGGACGGAATACCGAGCGGGGGGCTGCTTTGTGCGAAGGACGGGGGAGGTGGCGGTAGGGAATGGGGGGGGCGGGAGGGGGGGGGCCGGGCGGCACCGCGCGGGGACAGAGGAGAGAGGGAGGGGAGAGGAGGGGGGAGGGGGGGGGAAAAAAAAACATGAATGAATGCGGAGGGCGGAGCCTGGGAAAACCCCTCCGCAACGCCGCGCCGAACAGCGAACAAAGCGCTGCGCGTGTACGCGTCGGGGGGGGGGGAAAGGGGGGGGGGGGTAAAGAGGGGGACGGACCCCAGCGGGCCCGCAGGGGCATGGGGCGAGGGGAGGGGAACACAAGGGAAAAGAAAAAATAAGAAAAAATAAGAACGAGATATTGAAAGAAAAAAAATGAAATTTAAGAAATTAAAATCAGGTCTAGAGAAGCACTCGGTCCCTACGGATAGAAAGGAAAAGCGCCCGCCTCCCCCCGGCTCCGGGGCAGCACCCCCCTCCTATCCCCGGACCCACTACAAACCTGGCGGAGGTGCCGTGGCGGCGGCGGCGGCCGATGGCGGCGCGCGGGGGGGCGGGCGGGCGGCAGCCTCCTTCCCCTGACAGCCTCCAACACAAACATGACCCAGCACCGCCACCGCCGCTTCGCGCGGCCCCGGCCCTCCTCTCCTCTTCTCCCCCCCCCCCCGCGCCGTCCCCCCCCCACCCCGCCGCTCCCGGGCCGGCCCAGGCTCCGCCCCCCCCGGCGCCGAGGGGCGGGGCGTGGCCGGGGGCGGGGCGGGAGGCCCCCGCCGGGCTCCCCTCGGGGAGAGCCGCGCCGTGACCGGGGCAGGGCGGGGAGGTGGGGCCGAGCGGGAGGGAGGGGGCGGGGGGGTGTTTTACCGTCCCTCACTTTCTATTGCAGGAAGCCGGGCCGGAGCAGTGACGTCACCGGGTCTCCCGGCCACGCCCCCACGCCCCGCCGCCGGCCCGAGCGGGAGGGGGTGGGGGAGGGGTCACCGAGGGGGTTTCCGTACCGCCCGGCGGGCCGTGCCCGCGCTCCCTCTCCCTCAGCCCCGCTCCGCTGCCGCCGGGCTCCGTGCGCGTCGCACTCCCCCCTGCCGCCGCCCGGCCCCCGGGGCACCGGCACGGCCACGCACACGCAGCGCCGCGGCTTGACGCGGAGATCCCGGAGGTTCCTCCCTCTCTTCCTTCCTTCTTCCCTCCCTCCGTCCGTCCCTCCCCGCCCGGGCTTCCCCGCGGCCCCGCCGGGGGAACTCACCGCCGCGCCGCGCATCCTGCGGCCGGGAACTTTTCATGCCGGGCGGCAGCCGGCGGCGGCAGCGAGCCCCTCCGCCGCTGGAAGTGGGCGGGGGAGGAAATACGAGGAGGAGGCGCGTCGAGCTCGCCGTCGCGGCGCCCCTTTTTTGGCCCGGGCCGCGGGGAGGTGGGAGGGGGCCGGGGGCTGCGCTGCGCCCATCAGCTGTGCGGGGCGGGCAGCTCGTGCTGGGAGGGGCTCCGGGCGTGTTTGGGGGGTGGGGGAGGAGGGAGAGATCCTCGGGGGTCTGCCCTGGGATTTGTGCTTCGCCTGGGTTGGGGACCACCGTCTGCAGAGGTGTTGAGTTTTGCAGAGGTCCCTTTATCTAACGGCATTTAATCGCACGAGGCTTTTGTGAGCGAGACGGGAGAAAGCGAGTTTGGAAGGTGCGGAGCAGCGGGCTGCAGAGCTGCGTGCAGGCGTGAGACCGGCCCTCGGCCACAGCCTCGGCCATCTTCCCTCTTGAGCTCGCTTAATCCGTACCTTGAAAACACTCAGGGCTGACGAGGCGCCTCGGTGGGCTCCCCGCCTCCTGCCCAGGAGCAGCGTTCCTTCTGCAGAAGACAAAAGCCCAGGGGGACAGCGCGCCTTTAAACCACCTGGAGGTGGTGTGCATCACCATTGCTAATGAGAGATTTATGGGAGGATCAGACCCTCAGGGAGCACCCCTAGGAGGAACGTTCCCCTGCTTCTCGTCAGACGAGATGAACTCCCCAGTAGGGGCTTTGTTCGTCTCCCTCTGGCTTTCAGATTTAGGGCTGCTGCTAAAGAACAGAGTTGCCACCAGGCTGATCATATTAACGTGAATATGATCCAGCAGGTGCTGTTAGCTTAAACTAGTCATCCAGATCTGACTGGTTGCTAACCTGAGATCGAGTGACCTCTGAAATTATCTCCAGACTTTGACTTGTCCCGTTCAGCTGTCCTATTGAATCTGTCCCACTGGCCTTTGCAGCACGCTGCATTCTTCCCTTCCTACCCTCTCCCTGAAAGCTTTAGGTTGTCGTCGCTTTGCCTTAATAAGGGAGGAAGCACCAAATGCTGCCCTTCCTCATACAGTGCCTGAGAACAGGGACATAGTGCAGCTGCTGCTGGTGGCGAAGGAAGTCCCCCAGCCACATTCTCTTTGTGAGGTCCCGAGTAAGTTCAAAGCAGTGCTCCCATCTGCAAGACGGAATGGTGGACAACAGCAACCCCACTGGAGCCAGCAGGAAAGTGTTCTGCTGAAAGAAGTCACCCAGCAATGTGAAAACCCAGTCCTCTCAGCACACCATCATGTACAGGAGAGTGATAGGTGCCCTTCCTCTGCAAACAAGTGCAAACTACTGTCCTACAACTTAGTGAGGTGGCAGAGAGGAGACAGGTCCTTGATAGGGGAGAGGAGACAAAGAGGACAATGGGGTGATAGTCCTGTGTGGGGCCAGGAGTTGAAGTCCACAATCTTTATGAGTCCCTTCCAACTTGGGCTGTTCTGTGATTCCATATCAGATGGTGCCAGCTGATACACATTTCAACATGCAAACAGCCATCTGGAAGGCAGTTTGGGTCAAAGAACACAATGCCAAGACAAGAGTCTGGCCCCATGAGGTTTGTTCCCACTATGAGCCGAAGAAGCAGCTGGAGAGGCTTCTCAGCCTGCACATCTCACACGGACAGGGGTAGGGGCCAAAGAGTGGGCTGCAGCTCATCTCCAGGGTGGCAGAAATTACAGTCCTGAGGGCAGCCCTGGGAAAGCTCCGAGAAGGCAGCCAGACAAGCTGCGTGTTCCCTGCCCGTGTCCTCTGGGCACACCAGACCGCTTCGTCCTTTTCTGTCTGTTTTTCCATCGTAGAAAGGAAGTGCATACCCACTCAGTACAGAACTTTGGGGAAAGTGCTATGTATGCTTGCTTGTAGGAGGCACAGACTAATATCCTCCAACCTGCAAATGAGGGATGTTTTTAAAAAAGTTTTCAGCAACATCTGAAATGCCACACTGATGTGCACATTGAGAATATCTTCCGTAGCAGAATTTAGACACTTTTAAGAGTTTCACCTACGAGATTCCTTTTAAATGACTCTGTGTGTATCCGAATGGGGGAGATTAAGACTTTTTTTCCTGCTAAAACACCGCTGCATTTTCAGGAGGACACCTATTTTTAAACATCCTCTAGATTTACACTTGAAACCCCTACGCTCAGAAACCGGTACTCTATAATGGCTCATAGGTATTTTATGTATAAGTATATACACACGCACACATTTGGCTCTCAGGAAACCATGATACATTAGGTACTCTTAAATAATTCATTGTTAAGCACCCCATGATAAATCTCTCATTGAACAGTGTGTGATTTTGCTGGAATTCTCGGTATATATTGAATGTGAAGCACTGTGGTAAATTTAACTGCGCTGAGCATCAAATGTAAAAATGTTATATTGTACATTACATCCTGGCACACAACAGAGAATCTTTATTATTAAGGCTTCGGGGAATTTTTTGAGGTAACTTCTGAAGTTCTGAAAAGGAAGGAGGGAAAAAAAAAGACCGTGCACCATTTCTCTGTAAAAGCTGAAATCTTCTCAGAGAAGGGAAATTCTGTAAGTAGTCTGTACTGAATTAACATAGAGGCTCTGTCAAGGAAATTGCTATCTAATAGCTTGTGCTCTGGGGCTCCTCATTCAGTGCCATTCAACTAGAAGGATCTTAGTTTACCTGGTGCCAGCTGCTGCTCAGAGCACTTCCAGGGCTCACCACACTTGCAGCAGGGCCAGAGAGTTAGGACAGCATCTGCTCCCACTTTCCTCCAGCAGTAGCTGTCACCCCATATACTTACACCTCTCCCTTGTCAGCAGCAGCCAGGTGCTCTGCTGGAGGCCGGCAGGGACCTGGCAGCGCCTGCTGCCCCAAGCACCAGCTGCTTAGGAACCTTCTGCATGGCACTGCCTTCTGTCTGTCCTCCCAGGGCATCCTGCAAACTGATTCACTTCTGATTCGGACAAACTGGCACTGTGTGCTGGAAAAATGCTTTACTGAGGAATTCCAGCCTTATTTTCTGCTTTTCCCAGGTACTGCAGCTGTATGCGGTGGCCACCAAGGAAAGTGTGAGTCTGTCCAGCTCCAGGTTAACAAAATGATATGGGGTACAATTTACCAACAGATTTTCAAACTCTATTGTGTATTACTAACCAGAAATTCAACTGGACATTCAGTGAGCTTCACAGTCGCTGATGCCACATCTAGTTAATTGTACCATGTTCATCATTAGTGTGGGAGTGCCTCAAACAAGTACCTGTGTTTATGATGCCATGCTAACATCTGTTTGGGTCAGGATTTGTCCTCTCTCCTCGGAAGAGTCCTTACAGCTGGGCCACTTCCTTACATGTGTTCATTGGAGAGCTTCCTGGTTGGATATTAGGAAAAATTTCTTTCCATAAAGAGTGATGAGGCACTGGAACAGGCTGCCCATAGAGGTGGTGGAGTCACCATTGTTGGAGGTGCTCAAGAACTGCGTGGATGTGGCACTGAGTGTCATGGTTTCTTGGCGTTGTGGGGATGGGTTGGCAGTTGGACTAGATGAGCTTACTGGGCTTTCCAACCTTAACGATTCCGTGATTCCCAGCTGTAGCTCTTGTGGGCATGGGAAGCAATGCCCTCCTACCCAAACTGTCACCATGGCCTGGCATCAGTCCTCTTTCCTGTCAGCATAACAGGCCTCGTGTGTCCAGTCACAGCTACAGAGCAAAGATGTTGCTGAGGAAGATACCTTCTAGTAGAGTCCCTGTGCCATCTCCTTTGGCACCACAGCTCTGTTGAGGCTGTAGCACCATGCCCAAGCCACACGCATAAGGTACATGAGACCAGTCCTCATTGCAGAGGAAGGTGGCGAGATCCAAGAGCCCCTCAGCACCCTACAGGCTGGCTGCATGCCCTGCCTGGCCAAAGCCTCCATGACGGTGTGACAAAATCTAAGGGGAAAGAAAAGAAACAGAAATAGCAGCCAAGTTAAACCAGTAGCACTCTTTTCTCCAAAAGGCAGCCCTGATGCCTGGGGTAGGCTGCATCCATGCTGCTGCTGAGCAGGCTGGACCACCTCCGACTCTGCACACCACACATCTTGCAGTTTTATGGGATGTGATGTTAAGCCTGTCTGGGAGGGAGCTGTTTCCAAGCAGAATTACGAGGAGATCAGAGGAGGATCTGGGAGAAGGCAAAGGCTCATGTGCCATGCAGGGCATGATACCGTTGGGGTTATATTAAAGGGCTGAGCCAGTTCTGACTCCCTTCCTCTTCCCCAAGATGGAGCTCACCCAAGGCCCTGAGCACAGTCTTGTGTCCAAACATGAGGCAAGTTTGAGCTTGGGCTTGTGCTCTGAAGCTAGCATAGATGCATCCAAAAAAGCGAGTCCCAGAGCTTTAGGCTTTCCACTGAGTACTGCTTTTGTCTTTTCAGAAAGAATTTTATATCTGTAGCTTGGTAGATTCTGTATTTTGCACCATTTTACTTCCTTGCAGCCATGTAGTTTTACTTTCAACTGGGCTAGACAGGTTTCTTGCTACCTCTGAATTTTTTTGTAAAGTTGCTCACATTTTCCACTGTATCTCCCTGTGCCTCAGCTCGGAGGTTTGCTCTGATCTTTCTTTTTCAGCATCTTTAAGTTCTGAACAATTCATTTAAATACAGCGTGGTTTTCCAGCTTTTTTTTTCAAAGCCTTTTATCTATTAAAGAAACAGAAGGCATATATGCACTTAACGCATATTCACCTTGCCAAGGTCTTTACAATAGTATACTTTTTCTTTACATTTATCTATTAAAATTTTAATATTTGGCTAGTCAATGTCACTCTAGCATTATGTTTGCCACAGATGCGTATGGCAGAGGTCTCTTTAAATACTGCATTTTGAAAACATAAAAATAGTTGAGCGGCTCAAAGGTTGCAGGATTAGTGATGTTTTAGTTACTTCCTGACTTTTTTCTCTGTATTTATTTTCCCTTCATACCCTTTCCAGTACATATATGAGTATAGGAAATCCACAAAGATTAAAAAATCCCT